GGAGACCACATGGCGAGCCAGACCTCTCCTGACCCGCCCGCTGCTTCCCTCAGCAGTGTACTTCGTCCATCTGCCTGTTCTGCTCCCCACTCTGTCTCTGGTGAAGCCTCTCACCGCCCCTGAGCCTCTGGCCTGTACCCCAGTTCTGTATGAATAAAAAATCTTTAAAAAAAAAAAAAAAATTAAATACTTAGTGTCCTGAAGTGCAAAAAAGGTTCCCAGGCACAGTGGAAAATACAGAAAGGAAAACAAGGTAGAAAAAAAAGTAGAATGTTCCCTTAGCAGAGGCCTGTGTCTAGATGGTCAGAAAGAGAAATGTTTGAGCATGACTAGGTTTCTGACAGTTCAGCTCAGCCTCTAATTGCAGCAAAAGTTTTCTAACAATGTCTGTACATGTCTGCCTTGTTTCATCTCTACATATACATGCAGTCCCATCAGCAGCACCACTGTGGGATTCTCCTGATTTAGTAACTACACTGCAGTCACCTATTTTCTACTCAACCTCTCTCCCATGACTCAATTAGACAATAGCACAAGAGTCTGACGAGCCTGACACTTCCAAATCTGCCCAGAGAGTTAACCTGGACTGGCAGACAAATATTTTAAAATCTATCATGATTAATCCAACCCATTGCAAATGTTGCCAACTTTTTTCTATTATATTATATTTTTTCTTATTCAGTGGTTCCTCTTAGAAAGGGCCAATAAAGGTCATGAGAAGTACTGTATTTTAAAACATGGTATCATGGTATCACAGCTTAAATCCCCACTGTGGAAACCACAAAAAGGAGCGTGTGGGCTGTGATTTATGAGTGACAAGCACTCCGGCCAGCATAGATACATATACTCTTCCAGCAGCCACACAAGCAGGGAATCTGAATAAAAGCAACATGCTTACTAGTACATCTGCTATGCCACAGGCCCACAGGATGTACTCCAATACAAAGATGTTCTTCTGAACTCATCAGTTGCTAGAGTAGCTAAACTACAGCATACGTTACCTTCCTTTTCAAGGTTCTTTACAGACCTTGAAGAAAATGTCAAGAGCGAGGGGTAACACTCAGTCCAACTTCAAAATCTAAATCTAAATGTTTGAATATACTGCCACCCTCAAAACACATCAGGTTATTAAACCAATCCGAAAGTATGTGAAGCTAAAGAACACAAAAGGAATCCCGGCTTTGACGAAGGTGTGGCACACCTCCTATGCTTCACACTAAAATCCTCTGATATATGTTGGATTGCCAAGCCAAAGCATAAAACTGTACTAATGGGGTATAGACTAAGATTTCTGCTAATCCTCGAGCAGTGATGCTTAAGTATCACTGGGAGCCAGAACCCTCTGGGCCTCTTGTTTAAAATGCAGAGCACACAGTGCCATCTTCAGCATGCCCAGACACTTGACTCTGAAGTTGGTGCTTGCTAGGCCACACTTGGAGAAGTGTTGTTAGGAGCAGTCAAAGCATTTACAAAAAACAGGGTATCATTTATTTCCTAGCTTTCTCAATCCCAAATCAGAGTGAGACTGAAGTGTCTATGTGTGAGGATATCCATACATGTCACCCATAAACACAATGAATTCACAGTGGCAGCTTTTGGCTACAAACAAATTTCAATGTTCCTTCATTTCTGAAAGCAATAGGAACTAAAGTCAAAAGTAGGATAAGACCCAGGAGAAGTTAAATCTTAATGCCGTAAGAAAAAAAAATCACTACCACTATTACATGATAGCAGCTACTGTATTAAAGGAAACCTTCTGATCTAATTACAGATTCTACTTCTCACATTCCGTTTTCTGTGTGTGATGAAAACTGAGCTGTAAAATAATTGAGGTAGGGATTTAGAGACTTGGTACAGCTAACGTCCTAATAAAAAATGGCACACATGGGACTCTTACTGTTGTTACATATTAAATCTTATTTGATCGATTTTACTGTATTGCAAATTACAAGCATAAGGTAGGCGGTTGTAATTATAGTTTTATTGATTCATCATTAAGTTTTAATCAAGCTGCTGCTACAGGGAATGGTTATTATGGCAGTGTTCTTTTGTTTCTAAGTTTTTTTTGTACAGTAATAGTCACTACAACAAAGCAATTGTAGACAATACGCAATTCAATTGTTTCTAAGAAATCTGCAACATAAGCTTGTATCAAAGCAACTGTGTTAATACAGAACAATGCACAAAATTCTTATTTTCCTTAAGTGTCTACACATGACCGCTGACAGCTATTTTTATTTTCTATTCCTTTTCATTTTGCCTAAGAAATGTGCCTCTCCAAAAGTTACCTGTTCCTTCCCCTAAGGTTAAAAAACAAAAAAGGAAGAAACCGAAAACAAAAAATGTGTGCTCTATGAAACCAAAACAAGTCAGGAAACAAGAAGAGGGTATGTACATTTCTCAAGTATTTATTGAGAATATATCCTGAATGACTCCAGGGAGATAAAGTTCAAAGACTGATGATCAGAAGCAACATTCCACAAACTTCATATATTTGACAAATTTTTCAGCCTACTAAACTGTAACTGAATTTAAAATCAATTAACAGTCAATATATCAAGAGATGTTTCACCAGTGAAGTCCTCAATCTGTACCTATTGCTGGTCAATTCTCCTCTTAAGGTTCTCCAAGCATCAGAGAAATTTTAGAAAGGCATCTGATATTAGACCTCGCTGCCTAAGAAAGCATGCAAACCCTGAGTTACAGTACAATGAGAATGTCAGAATCGTGTATTTCTAGGTTTACAGGTATTGGTGTCCTTACTCTAAAGTCTACAAACCCCATCTCCTAAGCCCAACAGTTTACACATAGATTATTACATTTAAGTCTCCAGTTTTTAAAATATCAGGATACAGATATTAAAATATTAGAAAATAGTGTTTTCTACAAATGAAAAGATGCAGCAACATGAGAAATCTAGTAACTACCACTTGTACTACCTATTTGCTTTGTATAGTCTTAAGTCTGAGAGACATTAAGGCTAACACTGAAAAAAGACTGTCCAACACAGCCAACTAACTTTCAGGCAAAATGGCCCTATGTGAAACAAAATTAGGGGTCAAGATTTTACTGCTTGCTCTCAGCAACAAACTGAGAAAATGTAAGACAAATATTGAACTTACAGGTATATATTTAAACTTAAAGCCACATGCAATTCTAAAAGAGGGGGGAAAGCTCTCACAAAGACAGAATTTTCACAACCAGAAAGACACAAAAACTCCCACACGGGGCTTGTTATTCTTTGACATATAAACTGGAAAACAACTGCATGTAACAACATTCTAACGCCAATATAAATGCACACGCACACACACACACAAAATCTAAACCTAGGTAACAGGGTATTAGATTTTTTTAATCAATTACTTTTAAATTGCAACTTAAGCTATTTTTCAGTAAGAGTCCAAGCACTGGAGATTTTACCTTGCCAAAGAACAGAAAAATCCAAGCATGAGGGAGGTAAAAACCTCCAGAAACTGAATATAAAATGCCTATATGCTCACTTTACTGGAGAAATAGCCATAGGTGTAATTAGATCCCTAAAAGGGTCTACGGTTCTGTATGAGAACTAAAGAACTATATGTTCTTTGCTAACTAAAATTGTTATAGTTCCATCACTTTTATAATTTCAATAAATTCTGAAGGCAGTTTTTTTTAGTCCAGAGTTAACATGAGGTCTACACAATCATTTTCAAGCCACTGTCAAAGGAAATTTTATTAAAAAAACACTTCAACGATGCCCACATACAGATGAATGTGTCAAGAAAATGTGGTATATATAAACAGTGGAATATTACTCAATATTGCATGTCATCTGTGGCAATGTGGATGAAACTGTAAGGGATTTTACTGAGCAAAGTTAAGTCAGAAGGAGAAACACAAATACCCAAGAATCTCACTTACATTCGGTATACAGAGATACAATACAAAGGGTCAAATGAAGGCAAACATAAAAACTAACCCTTGGAAAGCTGACTGCAGAACTGAGACACCCAGAGAGGGAGAAGCAGCGACAAGATCTAGATGAAAGGGAGCGCAATGGACTAGTTCTAGATTCCGGTTTATTATATGTGCCAGGTGAATTGTTCCTTGTATCACTAAGTCTAGTCAGTGTTTGCTGTAAGTCTTTTTTGTCTGAAATTAGCATTACTCTTTCAGCTGTCTTTCAATTAGTATTTCTGAACAAGTTATTATTGATCAGAGAAGTAGAATCAGTATGGATAACAAGAACAAGGAGTTGTTGTAGAGATGCTGACAAAAATTGTAGGATCTGATTAAGCAGTTTACACAAAACTGTTACTGCTGCTTCAGTGTTAAGCAGAAATCAGGAGAAAACAAGGCTGTGAAAAGGAAAAGCAAAGACAAACTCACCGCTCTCTCTCATCAACCTTGATAACTTAACAACCTGCATTATAAGTTGGCCTCCTTCACCAAAGAGCCACACCTGACTTGGAATTTGGAGAAACTGAAGGAAACACAGAATTTGGAGAAACTGAAGGAAACACAGGAGGGGCTGGTGGAGATGGAGGTGGGGCTGCTGCCTAAAGCCAAGTGATGATGTGGCTCAACTGCTCCCCTTCTGAGCATAAACTCAACTCCTTCCATTCCACCTCAGAAATTCTGGGCAAATTTCTCTTGTGGCCACCATAATCTGGAACCAGCCTCAAAAACTTCCAGCCTCGACACAACTTCCAGTTTGAGGATAAGATACAAGCCACCACAACCGTATGGATATTTCTTCCTTGTCTTTAATTTTATTCTTGCTGTATAATTATGTTTTAGGTATGTCTCTTGTAAATAGTGGGTTACTATTTTCATCTCATCTAGATTGTCCTTTAACTACCATGTTTCACTTCTTTATATATATTGGGATTTGAAACTTTCATAATTCAAGAAACAATGTCATTTAAAAATAAAGTAGTATCTGTACGGAATATATATATATACACACACATAATATGCATTTCTGAAATATTTTATACACATAACTTGTTACTTACCACTTCTCCAGCACAGGCAGCCAACATATGCTTCACGGGCATCAAATATGAAGATGAATTGGTATGCAAAAAACATTTCACATATTCATAGGTGATAAAAAAGGCAGCAGCTGAAATTTAAAACAGACTTTTATAAAATTTAAATATATTTTCATACTGTTAAGAAATTTGTTCTAAAAATTTACCACCTTATTAAATTTTGCAGTAACAGATAAAGATAGTTAAAAACACACTACCCCCCACTCCTTTACCTTTGTAGTATTTACTACTATATACCTGACCCTGAAATTAAATAAAGGAGACATGACCCTCCTGAGGAAGTCTAACAGTTAACCTAGCATTTACCAATTGCACTGAAATATCACTTAACCTTTTTAAGGGGGCTTTTCAAGAATATGAATTTGTCATCCAAAATACCTTTATATTTGGTTATGAAACAATCAGCTACATGGGTTTACAGTGTTAAAATTGCAAGCATATACTTTAATAAAAAGTCTATTCCATGTTTTACTTCTGGTATTTAAAATAACTATGGCCATTTTCTGTATTAACTCACCCTTAAACAAAGCAATACCATTACATTCAAACAGAACTCATAATCTCTAAAAAGGTAGCCTGTCACCTTAAACTCCGCTACACAAGAGCCTAAGTCTACCATCTACTGTTAATCAAAGATGTTTATCACTTCCATGAAAGATAACTAAATGACAAATTCATCATTTGAAGGTTATGAGTATGTCACAGTGAAGTCTGAAATACTCAGAAAAAGAGATTGACAGTGAAAATCAGCTCTCCTCAGATAGGAAACATTCATGGGAATACTAACAAACACCAAGTTAAATGAGAAAGCACTCTGTGGAAAAGAGATGACCCATACAAGTAGTTTTATGTAGTTAACACAGGGCCCTGCTCCCATGTGTGGTTCTAATGAAGTTTATCATACTTTGGCCCACTGACTGAATCTACAGCTAGAGTCTCTCCAGTTACATTCAGTTATAGGTTCTACCTGCTACACATTCCCACCTCCCACCTGCTTATACCAACAAACCCTCCAGGGAAAAAGGAGATGGTATACACGTTTCTAGGTATTCATGGTTAACCACTTCAGCCTGATCTGACTTTGTTGCTTCTTTTGTGATAGACAAAGTTCCTTTAGAAATATAAGCACTAAAACTCTTTTGGGTGACACCCAAGAAACACCCCCCCCCCAAATGAAGCCACAGCAAGGTTCAAGGGAGGCTCCAAAAAAGTTACAATGAAGAAGTTGAGATAGCAGAGACCTGCAGTTTCTCATAACTCTTTACAAAACAAAGCTGTTTTTCTAACATGACAATGAAAACACCAGAAAAAAAGGTCTTTTCACCATTTTTGACCTCTATATCTCTATTCCCCTCCATCATTCCGCAAAATACATTTCGATAAAGTCTATAGCCACTGAATGTTATGCTCATATACTACTGTACTCACCCTACACAACCAAATGCAAAACAAAGGACGCACACAGGAAATTTTAATGCACCAACAATTTGCAAAAAAAAAAGTCATTGCTGAAACCCTCGCACTTTGTCTATCCAGCTGAATCAAAATTATCTCCCTTTCAATGAAGTTCTTTGGATGGCAAAAGTGAAAAACAAGGAAAGAAAAACAGCACTTCCTCACATATACAAAAACTGAAATCACATTCTGTATATGAACTCCTGCCGGCAAGCATCTAAAGGATTCCCATAAGCTTCACGGAGCAGCTCCAGACAACCGCTGATCGTGCATATCAGCAACAGTTGTTATGTGCAATAGGTGCGAGGAAAAGCTCTTCAGAAGGATGATGGGGATACCAAATGAAGACCAAAGGAGGGAACTGGCACACCTGTGACCCAGTCAATCAGGCTCCCTAACAGAGACACAGGAATCTGTACTTAAGAGTCTCTCAGGTAATCAGGTGATTGTGGGGGACACAAATTTAGGAACTGCTGCCCCTCACACATACAGGGCTACATTTGGCAAAGAGTAGCCACACAGTAACAACCAGCTACAATCAACTATGGTAATCAACTAAGGTATCCTCAAAACAGTTTGCTGTTCTATATACTGCTAGCGGAGAGGGAAGGAGAAACAGTAAGATGAAAATACCCTTTCTCTCTTGTGCACAATCTTTTAAAAGACTCTTGTGCTCACAGATGGACATTTAAATGTCAACATGAAAGAGTTCCTCATGAATTACCCTAAGGAACAAAGAAAGTAAACCTCAGAATTTAAGAATTTACTAAAGCAGTTATTTGCTTTTTATTGCCACTCAAAAGCATCAGTAAATAATCAAAATAAGAACCTGAAAATTTTTAACAAGCCAATATTGCAGAACAGGGCCATAGGTCACATAATGACTTGAAAATCAAAGCAAGACATTGGAAGGAGACCATCCAGGAAGAGGATAGTGGAAATTAGTGACATCAGCTAAGAGCAATTTAGTTAAAAAAGGAAGGTTTAAAGCCTCTTGGGTTCATCCTTTCCACAAGAATCTTGAAGGCAATAATTATTAAACTCTGAAAAAGCCTTAGAAGCTACTAAAGCTGGTCATACCCAGGCAAAGTGCACACCAATTAAGCCTCCAGGGGTGATACCAGTATCCATACTTTTGAAAGTCCTAAGAGATCCTATGTGTGGGCAAGCTTGAGAAGCACTGCTTTAAGGCATCACAAAGCTAGAAAAATACTAAAAGAATTTTAACAATAAAATAAAAGCCATTTTAAAAAGATTTCTCATATTTTTTCTATTGCAAATAGAGTGGAATGGGACCTACAGCACTAACCAATTCAAAGTTAAAGACTTAATAGAGAACAAATTAGAAAGATAAGTTACTATACACAAAGCCCATGGTTTTATAGCAGTGAGAATATCAATGTAATTGTTACCATTAGGAAAGGATCCAATAGCAGTAGAAAGAACGCCAGCATATATTCCACGAAAACCACCAGCCTTGTTAAATCCTTGGGGACTCTGCAGCCTGGTTTTAATAGTATCCAGAGGAAATAATATCAAATCAACGGAGACACCTGCTACCCCACCAGCCTTTAAAAAACAAAAAAAGAGGGAAGAGAAGGTTACAAAAAACATAAGCTCACTGCCATTGGGGGTAGGGGTAAGGAGTTAATCTTGAAGGCGTAGTTTTCATATGCATCAATTCACTGACTATTTTGACATAGGCAAAGGACCTTTTACCTAAATCTCGACTTCCCTGCGGAAATAATTATTTCTATGGTTATAAATTATAAATTTTTAAGTTTTTGTAAATGAATTTTAAATTCATTTTTATACTTTCAAGCAAAGCCCAGGAAAGTGCCAAAGTCGTCTCCCCTGTTCCTAAGAAATCAGGTAAATGTTTTTAGTGGCCTGTTATTATATATTCTTAGAAAGTTACTCTGGGCATACATAAGAAATATGGATAGGTCTTTCACTTTCCTTTTATCTTTTAAAATAAAGGGTGTATGAAATATGTAGTGTGCTACATCTATTTATTTACACGTAATTAATCTCAGATCTTTCCCTGCTGTTGAGTAGTGAATCTGCATTGACCTTTTTCTTTTTTTCTTGAAGACTTGCATTTGAAACAGGTAATGATCCTTGTAAATCTAGATTTGATCCAGGAATTCTGATAGTATTCTGTCTGTGTATATTTGAATATTCTGTAGTAATTCTTAAATTGAATGGCTTTTTTTTTTTTTAACAAAGAGCTAAATTCCTAAAGGACATTACATCAAGGCCTGAATTAGTCACCTCCCAAGAGACACCAGGTTGCTTGGAGAAGTTGTATTTTAAGTTTGTACCTCATGATTACAGTGAAACAAACATGTAGAATATTTTTTAACTGACTACACCTCAGTCAAAGCAAAAGGAAATTCAGAATTTTTATGCGCTCAAAGAAATGATTACAAACAGAAAATTCTCGATGTATTTCCTGCATAGCAGTTTTTCCAATGAATTGTAAACTTTTGTCTTTTGATTCTGAACCACATTAATAAAACCAATTCAGAGAAGTAAAATACATATTAAAAAGTATATAAACTAGAGAAAGAAAAATATTATTCAAACATGTAGACAAAGTTCAAAATGATCAGTTGTTAACCCCCTTGGGTTTACAGAATGCTGAGTACAAACTTAGTGCCTAACACTCTGCTCTACTTACCACTCACCATAAAACCACTGCAAGGGTTCACTGTAAAAAAAAAAGAAGTTACACATTTTATGGGGGTGGAGTGCGGAATGGGATCAAAAACAGTGGGGGGAGGGAAATGCACTGGACGACGGTGATGTCACAGGGTGATTTGGTGATGGGAAGCCCACAGGGATTACAACAGATGAAAAAATGCACAAATTGATGTAAAAATAAACATATATATATATAAAGAAGTTACTCTTGATGGCAAAAGCAGTAATATCTGTCACCTTGTGGGGTGACAGCACTGAGAGCAGTGGAGAACAGAGGAAAAATTAACTCAAAGTCCAAGTAGTGAGAGACCTAGCGGGCTCCTATCTCTGGAGTTGCAAAACCTTCCCCCAGTCAGTCTCAAGTTTATTTTGTATCAGACTCGGGGGAAGTGGATCTGAGAAGGAATGTGTGGAAGAATGTGCATGGTGGGTATGTGTATTGGGGATGCACAAACTAGGAAGGAGTGAACAGGGACTATTGCCTGAGGGGAGGGGGGTACCATTGTTGCTGTTGATCAAACATACTAACTCTAGTCACTGTTTACACTTCCTGTCAAGGTGGTCTAGCTGGTTATATTAACCTGGCCATAATGTCTGCTTGCAGTTTTTAGCAGATATCCTCATACCAAAACTTCAGTCCTGGTGAGAGGCCCCCTGGCTGACTCTGCATTTTAGAGTGACCCGCAGAAACTCTGGGCACCAAGAAAACCTACACTAGAAAAGTGCATGACTGTAAACATTAACATCAATTAATATTAATATACATCATCAGTGTGAAAGACATGTAGACCATGAAGTCTACACTGATTTTCTTTAAAAAAAAAAAAAAAGTGGGCCCTCCCTGGTGGTGCAGCAGGTTAAAGCACAGCACTAAGAAGCTAAAGCCACTTCAGCATGAGTTGGATCCCCAGCCCTGGAGGTGACCACATGGCGTGGCAGACCTCTCCTGACCTGCCTGCTGCTCCACTCAGAAGTGTACTTCATCAATTGGCCTGTTCTGTTCCCCACTCTGTCTCTGATGAAGCCTCTCACTGCCCTTGTACCTCTGGCCTGTACCCCAGTTCTGTATAAATAAAATAAATCTTAGGGGGAAAAAAAATGTGCCAGGAAAAAAAATTAAGAGAATGAGAAATAACACAGCATTTCTTTTTTAATGGTGGTTTTCCTAAGTTATGGGAAAAGGTTCACAAGTGATGAAGAAGTTTGTTTTTTGTTTAAAAGTCAACAATTTACGACATTGTTCTTACTTTTTAGAAGAGGGTGGAGAAATGAGAAAAAAAGACAGAAGGGAATACAATGGACTATGGTGGTGAACTAAAGGTAACCTGGTTTGAGTGCACGATGGTGGCACCAAGAACGGGATCCTACAATACCAATATTGTAAGCCAGTTCAATTAAGAAAAAAAAAGTCGCTCTGACTCAAAAGGAAATAAGCATTGCACTTTCTATAAAATTAAAAACTATTTTGTAATATTCAGTATGTATATAAGATATTTTGTTCACCTTTTTCTCAAAACATGAAATCTAAGATCTTAGTAAGACTAGACAACATGCTGCATTTCATTCTAACTAATGATCTTTTTAATCTTAGGAGGTTTAGAGAGATGCATGCCATCTAATGCCAAATTTTAATCATTAAGTAAATTACTCTTTTACTTGGCACGCATTGATTCTCTAACCCCTCCTTCATTAGGGTTCTTATTCACTAGAATAAAATGACCAGATTCAATCGACTTATATAACAAAGCATGAATCAAAAGTCACCAACTGCTTCTGTGGATTTCAAACTTTAACTCAAATGTCATTTAAATTCATGAGACAAAATAAAAACAGATAAAAATAGGGAAAAGAATAAGAACATATATCCACTAATAAGAATATATAGCCACTAAGCAACATATTTAAGGCTTGAACAAAAGTTTTAATGAATGTTTATTTTACATTAATTTGACAAAGAAGTATTGTTCAAACATAAGGAAATGTTTGAGTGAGCTATATCAACTGAATTATAAGAAACACTACCAAATTCTTTTAGTCTTCAGAGTGAAAAATTTATCAGGGTTATCAGGGAAATGATTTGTCACAAGATATATATCAGCTTACTCTGAAAATCACAGGACCTAGATTAAATTCAAAAACCTAGAACACTATACCTCGATAAGCTATAAATCTAAGTACAGCTAACAATTTACTGAGACCTTGATGTCATATAAATGATAATACTGCTCCACCTTAATAAATGTAAAAAGTGCTAGCAGGTGGCAGAAGACTCTTGCCACTCTGCTCTCCCTTTTTAGTTCAATACATAATCTGCCTCATGTCTAGAACTTTCTAAAGATACTTCTCAATCCCCCAGGCTAGGTAAACTCTATTGTTTCTACATGCTGATTACAACTTTAATCCTTCAGTTGAGCACCTGGCCACTTATTCAGTATCAATGAGTCCCACTGGACTGAAAGAGGCACACCTGTTTTGTTTAGCAACTCGGTCCCAGAACCAATACATAGCAGATGCTATGTAACTATTTGAAAATTGCATACATTAATGACTATAGTAAAGGGCATCAATTTATATTTTAGAAGATCAACCTTTAAAAGGTACATTCAATTTTTTGAAGGTCTAAGACAGGACCAAAGGTTTAGTCCCAAGAGGATCATCTAACGGTTAAGCAGAGGGACACTACAAACACATCCTGTGGCTTGGAGCAAAAACACCACCTGGACATCATAGACCAGCACAGATAACAACAGAGGAGACAGAACACACTTCACCAACAGCAGGTGAGAGCTAATGGAGGATGTGGTCTGAGGGTGAGGGTGGGGAGCATGGTAGGGGTGCCAGCTCAGTTTGGGGCCCTGGAAAGGAAAAAGCTAAACAGTATGTAAGTCTATATCCTTTACTTACGCAAAACAGGCCAAGTTCTGGTAAAAAGAACAAAGTACACAGGACTGCAGTTCCTTTCCTCACCCATCAAGACTGGTACTGCCCTGAACAAAGGGCATCACAGTGCCCAGACTGTAGTCACAGATATAGCACACTAGAGAGAAGGGCTATGCATGATACCACAAACGCAATCAGTTGTGTCCTCCCATCCCCCAATTTATTTGTACCAGTGGACTGAACCCTTCAGATAATTCCCTTATCTTCTGACTCAGCAACTGAAAAACAGGTCTCAGGTTACCAAGACTCTATCAAATACAATAATGAGTTCCGTATTCTTCATTTCTCCAGAAATTCAGACCAAGACCACAACTCTGGCTTCACACAAACAGCCTTGATTTCAAGTTCAACAGGGTCTCCTTAGGAAAGCTACTTAAAACTATAAGCCTCTATGTCTTCATGCATGAAATGCAGAAAATAACAGTACCTGTACTTCACCAAGGATTTGAGAATTAAATACAATTAGTTGACTAAGCCTGTAGACTTAGTAAAATAGCAGCCCTTAATAATGCAGTAAATGCAATACCATTTTTAATGTTACTGTAAATATCCTTTCTAAACTGCTGATGCCACATTCTAACATGTCACATTAAAAACCATTCAAAAGACCCAAGAGTACTTTACCAAAACGTGAAGATTACATGCATATATTAAACATACCACTAAATTTACATAAAATCTGTACACTCAAGTCTTTATTAGCAATAATTAAAAGCTCTCTTCAAAAACTGCTCTCCCAACAAGAATCATCCAAGAAGTCACTCAACTGAAGTCAGATAAAGCAGTGCATGGCAAGAAAAATATAGCTTCAATTTAAAAAAAACTTAAGAACTCCTAGAGTTCAAATTTTTTATGACTATTGTTTTTGAATGCAGAGGCTAACTTTAAAAAATGCAAAATTATCATACATATACTGGCTATAA